GGCCTCCCTGAAGCCACACTCTCTGCCATCTCCCCGCCTCTCGCTCTAAATGATCAAAATGAAATGATTCTCACTGCAGATGCCTCGATTTTCCCTCTGATGTTCTGGGCTGAATTACATTCTAATGTGAAGCAACCCCCACGAGGCAAGCGGATCAGGCGCTTTCCCCTTGGCCTTGGCTACATTTTCAGAGGGTCCGGTCTCAACCTCACTGGCAAAATAATTCCTTTTTGTGGGAGGAAGCTGTCCTCCCCCTCCCCACGGCAAGGTAAAGGCTGCTAAACTAGCTCCTTTTGGATGATACACTCTTTTAAGCAACTGGGTTGCTCTCAGAAAGAAGATGGCAGTTTTGAAAAAAAAAAATCCATTATGTGTCCAAATGCGTTTTTCCGTTTCATGTTTAATGTTTTTTAAAGGGCAAAAGCGAGTCTCATTTTGAGCCCACAGGCTCCGGCCAAAGTCGCTGAGCTAATTATGAGTTTGTTCAACCGAGACTCTCAAATAATAGAGACTACTAACTCAAGGAAGGTTTGCTTTCCCAAGAATTGTGAATTCAGAAGCTGTCCCCCATCCTCAATCTGTAATTCAAAAACAAAAACAAAAAATAACAACAACAACAACAAAAAAAACACAAGAAAAATTGGTCGTCGAGGGCGCTTTTTTTTTTTTTTCAGCTCCGGATCTTAATTAAGAGCCTTAGATTTGGGTAGGGAGGAGTCCCCCTCTGTCTTAAGAGTGCTTTTGGTTCAGAAGGCAGCCTAAGCTTGATGTCAACCCTGGCCACTTCCTGTCTCCCATTTCCCAGCATTGGCACAGACTGCAGCTGCCATCGCCGCTCAGGGGTTACTGGCATTCCCAGGAGAGACCAGGCCCCGGGGGAAGGCTGAGTGCCCACCACACCAGCGCGGGCTCACAGCTGCCAGGGACCTCGGCTGAGGGCGCGCCCACTCCACAGCTTCTATCCGGATCAAGGCTTTCCTGGCGCGGTGCGGCGCGGAGCGGCGGCGGCCGCTCCGCTGAATTTCTCAAACGTAGTTTATTTATAGGGAGCTAAATTATCCGACAGGGTTGGGTGAGGGGCGAGAAAATGTACCCAGAACCCTTGGAGTCTCATTTTTGAGTCACCGATTAAGTAGAGACCTGAGTGAACTGGACTGGACCAAAGGCGCTTTTTAGCCCCCCTCTGTCTGTCTCTCTCTCTGTCTCTGTCTGTCTCTGTGTCTCTCTCTGTCTCTCTCTGTCTCTCTCTGCCTCTCTCTCTCTCTCTCTCTCTC